ACACACGAGATACACAAGGGCATCATTTAGTCTTATACATGGGGTGTGAGGGAGGGTTTTTGGGAGATGAGAGATGATATACAAGGGTTGGGTTTGGGTTCAAATTGTATTCTTGTATAGGGTTTTCCTTTCATAACAAAGAACGGGTTTCTCTCCGTGGACGTAGACTCAATGGTGAAGTCGAACCACGTTAAATATTGTGTGTCGTCTATCTTTTATGTTTGTAGCTTGTTTCTTATTAAATTGTTGTGCACTTGATATATCAATAGTTGTTTATTCCGCACTTGAATCCTAACACTTGAAACTAATGTTGAGATGGAGTAAATAAAGTCATTAACAACCCTTTAGGTTGAAGGTAAAATGGGAAGAAAAGGGACCCAAAAGAAAAAATAAAATGAAGGGAGTGGAATTATATATCTATAGCATGAACAAAAGTAACAAATTGAACGTGAGCATTTAGATTTTTTCTTATTCGGTCCATGTAAACTTTGCCCCTCCATAAGCTAGTGAGTAAAAAGTCAAAGGACAAAATTGGTCCAATAATAAAAATGGGGCATTGTTCCAAGCAGAGGTGCCAAATTAGTTCAATCGCAAAATTAAGGGACAACATTAGCCTAAATTAAAGTAGAAGAACAAAAGTGGTTCAGTAAAAAAGTTGGAAGACAATTTGCATCATTTGCCAAAAAAAAAAAAATCAAATGAAAGGGGTGTAAATGTAACATCTATTGCATGAAGAAAGATAAGAAATTGAACATCTCTTGATGTATTAAATCATGATGTTAGCAACACCACAACTCTGAAGATGGAAAATTCTATTTAAGCTGAATTATTATTATTATTTAAGGTAAGCTAATTTATTATGTCACCAAACTGGAGTTGGAACAGCAAGAAGAGGAACTTTTTTGTGAATTATTAAACCAGTACATTCAGTCATGTCCAAATCTGTTCCCTTAGCTCCATCAGGCAAATCCCAGTCAAACTTAAGCATAAGATTTGCTAAAACATGTTCATCTGTAGCCATCGCGAAAGAGATTCCAGGACAACCCCTTCTTCCAGCTCCAAATGGAATCGATTGAAAGTCATGACCTCTGAAATCAATGCCAGAATTCAAGGATCTCTCAGGCCTAAACTCATCTGGTTCATCCCAGAATGAAGGGTGTCTTCCAATGGCAAAAGCATTGGTAATGATCATAGTTCCAGCTGAAATGTCAAAGTCCATTACTTTAGCGTCGTCGATTGCCTGGCGCGGGACCAGTGAGGGTATCGGAGGATATAAACGTAGTGTTTCTTTAAGCACTGATTTCAAATACTTCATCTTTTTCCAAATCCTCATCAGTGATCTCTGGTCTGCCACCAGCAATTCCTCTCACCTCCGTCTGTAGATCCTCATCGCTTTTGGGTGCCTTAAAAGCTCTGTCATTGCCCATTCTAGCACGGTATAGGTAGTTTCCGTTCCACCAGCGACAATGTCCTAAAGCGAGAAGTAAAATAATAAACTTATAATTATCTTGTCTTTCAATTTTGGAACTGAGATGCACATTTCACCAAGCAAAGATTAAAGGATTGAAGATAGAAAATAGGAAATTTTATCTTAGACTATGCTCATCATAACACCAGTATATGGAAGTCATAAATTGGTCCCCCTGCGTATTTTTAAAAATCCCTCAAAGTCCTTTTTTTAAAAAAATAAAAAAATAAATCCCTCACAAGCCATGTAAATTTGTTGTTCTACATAACCTAATGGGAAAAAAATTACTATTAGAAGTTTTATGCACTAATGAGTCTAAAGGTATATCAGATATGTGCAAAATTTAAAAATCAAAATCATTTATTCGAATGTGTCATCATCTAAAATCATTAGTCAATGTAACAAAGTTTAATCCTTATATTATATGGTGCTATAAGAGTCTGATAAAGTACTCCGGTTAAGTGAACATTGAAAGGAATCTTCATTTATGTGCAGATTTCATAGACTAGCCCTGGCTATTACAGTGTACTACTTGTGGAGAACCAGAAACTTGGTGCTATTTCGGAATGGTAGTTTATATCCGGTGGCTATTGTACAGCATATCATTGACACTATTCGTCATATTGGAGCTTCATGGAGGGGTGTACCAAAAACGTACGCTGAATGGAGAATTCCCCTGGAATTGCAGAAATTTTGGGAAAATATAGTAAATAGGGAGGGGGTAGAAAATCGAACAGATTATAAATCCCAACTTGTGAATAACTCTGATGAACACCCTCACTTGACTAAATTAGGAAAATAGGGACAAATTGAATGAACACCCTCACTTGACCGAATTAGAAAATTGGGGACAAATTAAATGATCCAAAAAATGCTGAAATATAACCACTTCAAGGATGAAAAAGGGCCAGAAATCATCCCTGCAAGGAGACAATTAGAACGGTGGTTTTCTTTTATTTTTCTTTTGGACAAATTATACTTTACCCCCATGTGGTTTAGAGTTTTTGTACATAACTCCTCTATGATTTCAAAAGCTATACATAACTCCCTCATAGTTTTGATTAAAGTGTCAAAGTGATAGAATTTGCAATCCATAACGAAGTCATCTAAAATGTCAAAAATACCCCTATGTAAAGTTGAAAATTATTTGTTAAAAATAGGGGAGTTATGTGTATATTTTGAAAACCATAAGGGGGTTATATGGTAAAATATAAAACCCTACGGGGTTAGTGTATTATGTATATTATGTTTATATATTTTGATCATTTCAACCATTTTAATTTTTAAACAAGACTAATTTCGACATTTTCAAAGGTTCTATTACGAATGATCATTTCTATTGTTTGGATACTTTAATCCAAATCATGAGGGAGTTATGCATAAGTTTTGAAACTATAGGGTTTTATGTACAAAAACACTAAACATAGAGGGGTAAAATGTAATTTGTCCTTTTGCCAAATTTAAAGTTGTGGTTAAGGTGAGGAATCGTTGGACGAACTTAAGAATGCAGGGAAACCGGCAGAGAATTCTAGAATTTTAGAAATTCTGGATGGAGAAAACGATAGAGTCGTATGTTTAAGTTATGGAATTGCCGCGAAAGTCGCTCAAAATTACAGCAATCTCCACCATTGATGCTATGAAAATTGATAACTAATATTGCTCAAAATTATAGCAATTGCCATTGAAAAATTGGACCAATCAGTTGCCGGATAACATCCAATCAATTTTGTATAATTCAGCAATCCAATTCCACTCATTCACGTCTCGTCTTTATAGTAGTAAGGATATATATATATGATGATTTTGGACCGATGTGAAAACACAGAAAATTTTTCAACTCTTGAATTCAGATTAACGTTTTGTGGTTGTAGTTCTATTTCTTTCTTGGATGAATATACTACTTGATTTTGCATTTTCTACCTCTGAGTATTGATGTTGCAATTTCGTTAACCTTCTAATAAATCCGCCATTAGAAATGGCACAACAAAATCTGAAGGATCTCTCCTCCAAAAGATATCATCACATATGAATTTTACCCAACTGAGCGCTTAGTACTTAAAACCCAAATTGATTAGATGCTAATATTAGCTATTGACTTGAGTAATGAATTGGCAATACTGCATAAGAATACAAACAAAGAAGATAAAGGAAGGATAATGTGAGTGGTCCTTGAGGCCTGCCATGCATCTCTCATCTCATCAAAAACTTTCCGTCCAATGTAGAAATAATTAGACGAATAAGGATTTGGACGGCTAGCTTTCGCTACTCCTAAATGGTTCACATTTGATGCTCGATCTAAGAATTTTCAATGATCTGAAAACAAAACACCACATCATGATGTTTACCTTTGGCCAATTGCTTGATAAACACGTATACAATAAGAACTTATCTTATTCTTAGCCCTGCTCTTAAATATTATTAACGACTCCGTGTGCTCTAATTAAGCGAGGCAAAATATGCTCGATCATTTTCGTTTGGATTAGCTGTTTTTAGGGGTGTTTTTGAAAAATTTTATTGTAGCAGAGTTTTTACAGTATATTTTGGGATATTTTTAGAAAATATTTTGAAATATTTATGAGTAGTAGAGTTTTTAAAATATATTTTGAAATATTTTGAAATATTTTTTAAACATTAAAAAAAATTTAGAATACTTTTTAGAGTACGTTTTAGAGTATTTTTTAAAAATTTTTATAATATTTGAAAAACAAGAGAGCATAGGGTCTTTGATTCAAATGTATGATCATCAACACATTGCAGACATAGCCAAATCGATCATTTTCAGTCTTAACTGATTGTGATAGGTTAGACTAGGTATTCTGTGCTTTTGCACTTGAGTCAAAAGGGCTGGATGTTACATCATTTTGGAATGGGTAAAAAATAAAAAAGCCCCCTGTGGTAAACCTAATACACAGAAAAGCCTCCCGTGGTTTCAAAATATACAACACGACTCCTCATACTTTGAACTAAATTGTAAAGGTGACGGAATCCGTTAAACTTAACGGAAATGGTCAAAATGACCAAAATACCCTGATATAATTAAGCAAAAGACAGCTCAAAAAAATCATTTGTTTTATTTTCTAAATAGAGAGAATTGAGGGTTAAGGGGTAGAATTGGTATATTTGATAAAAAATAGGTATAAAAATTTTTTTTTAGGTTCCAATTAGGGTTGTTGGTGAGCCGAGCTACTCGCGAGTAGCTCGCGAGTAGCTCGGTCAACAACTCGACTCGAACTCGGGTTGACCGAGTTCGAGTCGAGTTTCGAGTAACTCGACTCCAAATCGAGTCGAGTATCGAGTCCCATTTTCCGAGCTCGTGGCTCGTCGAGTAGCTCGACGAGCCAGAGTTAATTAAATAAAATATTTATAATTTAAATAATATATATTTATTATAATTATAAAATGACTATTATGGGTATAAGTTATATGAAATTTACAATATTACCTTCTTTATAATAAAATCCTATAATGGCAAAAAAGTAATAACATAATTGTAAAAAACACTAAAAAGAAAAAATGTCTAAAAAAAAAGGAAGAAAAGACTTTCTTCCTTCTCTCAGTTCTCTGTGCCGACTGTGCGACTTTCTTCTCTGTTCGAAGCCTAGCAAAAAAATTCACTTTACCAATCTACACCCTCACTCCGTTCGTCGCCGACGCCGTTGCTCGCCGCATCTGTGAGACTCCATCGCCATCGCCATCGCCTTAACAAGTCCCAAGTCCCAAGTCCCAAATCGAAGCTGCTCTCTGCCTCTCCGGCCTCCGCCAGTCCGCCGCGCTGTACGTCTCCTGTCGGCTGTGTCCTGCCGTGCTGGTTCATCGCTGCCGAGTGTCGAAGACGAAGCACCAAGATCTCACTAGTTCATCGCTGGTTCATCACTGCTCATCTCTGGCTCACTTAGGTAAGTGCTCCTCTGTTTTTGGCTCTGTGTCTCTGGCATTAAAATGGGCCAAGATCGACTAGGAAACTTGTTATCCTGAATTGATAAGGGGACGAAATCTGAGCTTCCAATTGCAAACTCTAACTGTTGTAGTAGTTTAGATTAGGTGTGATATAACATAAGCTTTGTATTTTATACACAAGAAGCTCTCTCCAGTTGTGCAGCCTTTAAAAGTTAAGGCCTTGGGGAAAAATTCCACCTTTTACCCGTTAGAAAGATTGGCCTCATGCTTTTGAATATACATGCCGCATACGTTGATTGAGCTGAATGTCTTGGTTTCTGATCATTTTTGGGCTAGTTATTGCTTTAATTTGAGTGAGAATCCGGCAAAATTTTAATGCCCATTTACTGTTCGACAAAATGCTTGATTGAAAGTTTTAGTTGAAGGGTGATTGGTCTGCATTTTTGCACATGAAAAATACTGGCCAAGTCGGCCAGTTCACTTCCTCGCATCTAAGAATTTTTGGTGTGTTGATGTCTTACATTTTTCTGCTCCTTATGCTTCCGGTCGAGTGAATTCGAATTGATGTTATGAGAGGGAGTGTTGTGAGTCTCATTGTTTGTTGGAATGGTTAGAAATTGAAGCCAGATTTCTGGTTGCTGTCTTGCTGAATGGTAATTGATATTTGCTCGTTGGAGAAGATGATCACTTGTCCAAAATTGCAATTTCAGTCCCTCCGTTTTCTTTTTGTTTAGTGATTTGGTCCTGTCTTTTCCTGAGCTTCATATTTGCCTCCAACACCATCATAAGTCCCTTAATTAGGTCCCTGCTTTGTTGCATTTTAATCCCTCAAGTCCCCCTTGTTCACCGTAGCCTCAAAATTTGGAAAAATCAAATCCATTTTGCCTTTCTTGAGCTTAATCCTATGTTTGCCTATTTTATATGACTTTTTGGGATAAATTAATTCTTGACTTTAGATCATAATTGTGGCTTAATATTTTTTGTTAATTTGTTTATGTTATTGGGTTTAGTATTATGGTTTAAGTTTTTTGGGTAATTATATTTGATTAGGCTTGTAAAAATTCTTTTTCTTTTTCTGCTCCTTCTTAGACCACACTTTGCTGTTTTAAGTTAATTTATTCTTTTGGGAAGTTATGTAACTTTTTTTGTGTTTTTACCTCTATGCTTTTTGTAGGAAGCCAAGACAATCAAACAATTCGACTTGCCAAAGCTTTGAAGATTTATGTTTCTAAATCTAGATTAGCTCATTATTTGGACCTTGTTAATTTATGAGACGTAACTTATTATGTATTGTGGAGTATGTTTATATTTTAAAGCCTTTTTCTTTCATTTGCCGAATGTATGACTATTGTGTGAGCAGGCTGGCCGCTGGTTAATGACATGTTAATGTGTAGGATAAATGTCTAGAAAACTTGTTTTTTGAGTGTGTCGTGTGTGGTATAAGGTTCAGAGGTTTTGCTTGTGGGTTCAATTCTTTTGCTCTTTCCTCTGTTTAAAATGACAGCCTGGAAAGAGCCGTTGCAATTTGCTGTAAAAGGCTCCAGCCTCTGGGATTGCATTTTAATGGTGGTATTGAGGTCATCTTTGCTGGGTCAGGTTAGTGACAAGAGTTTTCAACTTCATTCTTCTATATCCTGTCCAAACACTTGTAATTCTGCTGGACTATGGTCCATTTCTGAACCAGGAACATATTTTTCTGACATGTTCTTGTTTAAAGCAGCTTTCTTTAGTTAGTAATTAGTGATATTTGTGGGGAAAAGGAATTTCTGGATAGATCTTGGCATTGGTTTCTGAATTGAGCTTGAGGTAGTTGGGATATTGTGGCTGTTTGAGATAATTGTTTGTCTCTCAATTTGGTGGCTCAGCTCATGTTTTGCTGAGTTTTGAAATTTTGTGGGGAATTTTGGTTAGTTTGGGTACTTTTGCAGCACACTTAGGAACTATGATCCGAGGAATTAGAATCATCCATATTTTCTGCTCTTGTGGGCACCTTACCATTGGTGGGTAATTGCTGAATTTGAAAGTTTCATGTCAAGCAATCCAGCAAGTGGGAATTTCCCTTTTTTCTTCTCTATTCTTCTTTGTGGTGAATCTGATTTTTAGGGGTGTTAAAGATGCTAACTGTGGGAGGTAGAATGTGGATACTTTTAGTTGTATTTGTATTGATGAATCATGGATTTTATGCCTCATTTACTCCAGCTGATAGCTACTTGCTTGCCTTTGATTCTTCCCAAAACATCACCTTTGATCTGTTTTTTTCGTCAAATCGAGTCAAAAAGCTTGATAAGACTCGACTTGATAAGGCTCGATTAAAGATCGAGCCTTATCGAGTCGAGTCTCGAGCCTGAGGAAATTCTTCGAGTCGATCTTCGAGTATCGATTTTCTTGGCTCGATCGAGCTCGAGTCGAGCTCGAGCCTCTGTGTGTATGAGTCGAGTCGAGCTCGAGTATAGTGATACTCGAGCTCGACTCGGCTCGATTACATCCCTAGTTCCAATAAGTCATTTCCGTTAAGTTTAACGGATTCCGTCACTTTTACAATTTAGTTCAAAGCATGAGATGTCGTATTGTATATTTTGAAACTATAGGGGGCTTTTCTGTGTATTAGGCTTACCACAGGGGGCTTTTTTATTTTTAACCCTTTTGGAATTATTGAATTAGTTTATCAATAGCATAAAGTGGTGATCCAGAATAATTAGCTGTTGATTCTTTTTAAGATTGAATATTACACAAATATATCACAATAATTGCGCAACGGATCTTCTGTCCTACACTCTGTGCCACTTTTTATTATATTGATATTTCTCCTGTATAAACATCACGTTTTAGTTCTTTTTTGCTTCACCTACTTCCAAAATATATACACAAAATATATGTAAGACATTTTTATTTTATTTTGCTTCGCCTACTTCCCTCCTGCCCAATGCAAAAAATTTACTTAATATCCGAATTCTTCACACCCATTTCTGATATGTTATCATGCTCATCTAGGTGTCCAGCCAAACTTGATGTGCCTCAAATATACGTCGTTAACTTTTAAAATAAAAACAGCCATATTTTTACAAAAGAAAATTGAAATTGTTCAAATCGTGCCAAATTAGTTGTTTTGATTTCTTGTCAAGAGATGTAAAATAAGCTATCTTTAGATTTTGTTCCAAATGTCTAGCAGCCAAAAAGGATGCCACGAACAAAAAGCTTCAGCAATTATCTTAGAAAGCAGTCTTCTGCCCTCCATGGAGCTGAATTCCAAACTTCAGCCGCCAAAATTAATGATATTGCTTCTTGGTTGGATTTGATTATCATGTTGTGATTGTAGTCTTGTCCCTTGGCAAGTTCAAATTTTCAATTTTCTGACAGCTAACAAGATTGTTTAAATCGATTTTATAAGGGATTATTTCATAATGCTTTGCATAATAGATTGCTGTCGTGGCATTACTCTAATCCATCCCATCACAAGTTATAATTACTATTGCACTATTCACGATAACAAGTTTGGTGCCTCCTCATTTTTTCAGTTCAAATCTGGTCAGAGATTAGACCTTCTATTGCACAGTGCAATTGCAGCCCTTCTCAGGAATCAATCCAACATTTGTATCAAGACAAGAATACAGAATCTGCAGCATTCGGCCATGTGAAGAATTCAAGAAAGTGGAGATGGAATAACAAGAAGAGGAATTTTGCGACGAACTGCAACGCCAGGGCATTCTGTCATATCCAACTCTTTTCCCTGTGCACCATCAGGAAATTGCCAATCAAACTTGCTTACCAAATTTGCCAACACAAGTTCATTGCTGGCAACAGCAAAAGCGATTCCAGGACAACCCCTCCTACCAGCACCAAATGGGATTAACTGGAAATCATGCCCTTTGAAATCTATAGACGAATCCATAAATCTCTCTGGCATAAAGTTCACAGGTTCATCCCAATATGCAGGATCTCTACCTATTGCCCAAACATTGATGATCACCATTGTACCAGCTGCAATATCATATCCCATTATTTTGACATCTTCTCTTGCTTCTCTAGGAACCAGCAACGGAATTGGAGGATGTAAGCGAAGAGTTTCCTTGATCACTGCTTTCAAATAATGCATCTCGGCCAAGTCATCCTCGGATATCTGTTCTTTGCCACCAACAACCGCTCTTATTTCAGTTTGCAATTTCTTTAGGATAATGGGGTGTCTTAAGATCTCTGCCATTGCCCATTCTGCAACTGTAGCCGTGGTATCAGTTCCAGCAGAGAATACATCCTACAGTCAAAAAGATATACACTTAAAATCAATGATTTGTTGATTGTCCGTGAGAATGATCAGAGATGACGCTTAATGAAGCTTAATGATTTTATATTCAGAAAAAATGATTTTATAGAAGCTTAATGATTTTATACTCAGAAAATGAAGCTTAATGATTTTATTTTCACTGCGCAGAGAAAATTGTGCTTACCAATATTATAGCTTTGACGCTGTCCCTGTCCATGGTTACACCCGTTGCGTTATCTTTATAGATTTTCAGCAAAATATCAAGAAAGTCTTCCCTGCTTTCACCATCAATCGTCTCACCACTTGGCCTGCAGGAATATTTTTCCACTGCACCATCCAACCTTTCTTGGACCACGCCCTCCAAGAACTCATCTACTTCTCTAGCAACGCGATCCACTCTGGCATCGTAACCATTAACTCGATTAATCCAGCTGAGACAGGGCACAGATTTGACTAAAATTCCTCCGTTCAGTAACTCCAAGAATTCGCCCAACAGCAGCTTGAATTTCTTTCCAGTTTCCCCTGCACCGTATTTCCTCCCAAAAGCCGATCTGCATACAATATCATTAGTCAGCGAAACAAACATTTCGCTCAAATTCACAGGTGTTGAATCCAAAGAAGCGTCTTTAATCTTCTGCATCATAATCGACGTTTCCTCTTCCCTTATATTACGAAACGCCTGAACTTTTTTGTTGCTCAGGAGCTGAAGAACACAAATACTCTTTAACTGTCTCCAATACTCGCCATAGGGTGCTACCGATATATCCTTCATGTTATAGAGAAGTTTATTAGCTGTGCTCGAAAATGGCCTATCAGAGAAAATCAAATCGTGGGTTTTCATGATTAGGCTAGCTCCATCAGCTGATGAAACGACAACCGTGGGAACACTACCAAATTTGAGAAACATGATTGGACCATATTTTTGGGCTAAGGAGTGGAGAGGATAGTGAAGCAGTGAGCTTAGCTGATGAAGATTTCCAATAATCGGAAGTCCTGGTGGCGATGGTGGCTGATTCTTTCTCGAATTTGAAACTAATTTGAAGAGAAACCACAGTAAGATTAAAGGAAAAAGCGAAAAAAAGATTGGATGAAACATATATACATCAATCTTTAGCTCCGATACCAAGCCTGATAAGCTTGCCATTTGCTTTAATCTCCCCTGTATTTTGCTCAGGCTACAAGACTCTGATTTCAGACAAAAAATTGGAAAACAAGTATGGACAAGTATGGACAAGCTTGGCCACTAGCCATTTGGTCCAGTGGCCATCACCATAAAAAGGTGATGATGGAGGTGCCATCACCATAAAAAGGTGATGATGGAGGTCAGGGGTTCAATCCCTGCCTCCCACAAATTTGCCACATTTGTGGCGGTCTTAATTGACCTTCATCGATGGAGTCTGTACTCACATCGAACCCCATCCTCTTCCCCTTAGACTAGGCTCGAACCCCATCCTCTTCCCCTTAGACTAGGCTAGATTAGGTTATAGAACATCTATCGTTGCGACAAAAAAAAAAAAAAAAGTATGGACAAGCTTGTGTCAGTTGGCAGGCGTGTGGTATCTATATGGATAGACTTGCAGAAAAATGACAAAAGAGGATGGAAAAATAAGGACAAATCTATAAGGACAAAATTACACTTTACCCCCTTATAGTTTAGTATTTTTGTATATAACCCCCCTATAGTTTCAAAAATTATATATAACCCCTCATGGTTTGGATTAAAGTGTTAAAATGACGAAAATGATCATTCGTAATGAAACTTTTTAAAATATCAAAATCACCCTTGTTTAAAAATTAAAATGGTTGAAGTAAACCAAAATATAAAACATAATATACATAACACACTAACTCCGCATGGTTTTATATTTATCATATAACCCCCTTATAGTTTAATATTTTATCATATAATCCCCTTAAAATTTTTAAAATATACACATAACCCTCCTGTGGTTAATAAATACTTTTCAACTTTATATAGGGGTATTTTGACATTTTATATGAATCCGTTATGATATTTTAATTCAAATCATGAGGAGATTATATATAACTTTTGAAATTGTAGAGGGTTATGTACAAAAATACTAAACCACAAGGAATAAAATGTAATTGCCCGAAAAAATAAGGACAAATCGAAACCTCTTACAACATGAGAACATATGAGAACAACAAGGACTGGTTTTTTTTTTTTTTTTTTTACTACGTGCATCGAACTAAAGAATTTCAAACAAAACTACAACTTAAAATTTATAACTCTGGGATAGTAAAAAAAAGGGAGAGAAGCTAAAACAATTTCACCTGAGTTTTTTATATTTTTATTTCTTGATTAGCTGTTTGTTTTATTGAATCTTGCTCGATTCCCTTCACAAATGAAAAATATGATTAAACAACAACTGCATTATAATCAAAATAATAGTACAACCCAATACTAAAGAATGGAAATTAACATACAAAATGAATCCATATGTCCATAATCCAAAATGAATTTGGCAAATAGAGGAACAAAAATAAAACCACAATTATAGGGTAAAAAAGAGGAAAATAATTAATTCTTCCGCATTTCAGCTTCACGAACATAATTTGGCGACGGAAAAACAAAGGGTAAAACAATACTATTGGTCCAAAAAGTAAACACCGCGGATCGTAAGCCCCGTTCTGTTAGCCTCAATGGACCAAGTGAATAACTGTTTTTCGGCCAAGGTACTTCTGGACAAGAGTCACAGGGCTCCACACGCGTCTCCGCCCATCACATGAATGTGATAGCCTCCCAAGTCCAAGAAGTTTGCTTGTTTCCAAGCCTGTATTTCTATAGTAAATGGCCCGAGGACTTTGCAGAGCCTGGCACCACATATGTGTTGACCTTGACCCGCTCACTTCGTCCGCGGTGCAATGCTTCGCTGGACTTCAAAACATAAATTAAACATGGGCATACTCTTAAGAATTCACGATGTGGGCTCTGTTTTCAAACTCGGACCGGACCGGCCGGTCGAACCGGTTGAACCGGGAACCGGCCAGGTAGCCGGTCCGAGTCACATTAGAAAACCGGAAATTTAAAACCCGGTCAAAGCCGGTCAAAAACCGGGTTTGACCGGGTTTGACCGGGAAAAAACCGGTTTTTCCGGTTCAACAGTATTTTTTTAAAAAAAAAAATTCAAACTTTTTAATATTATGTTTTGACCCCCTAAATTGTTAAAACTTATTGATATACCTCAAATATTTGATACTTTATAAATATTGTCCTAAAATTTGATGTTATTTTTCAATTAAATTCATAATTTTAATTCTAAACTTGTTAATATTTATTAAATAATATAAATTGCTACTTGATTGTTCTAATTTCTTTGTATTTTCTTGTTAAATATATTTGAAACATCAAATATATATGAATATGCCTTTATTAATATCAATATATTATTAGATATTATATATATAACATTTTAATTTTAAAATAATTTTTATTTATGACGTCATCCGGTTCGACCCCTATCGACCCCCGGTCGAACCCATTGACCCCTGACCCCTGACCTCGGCCGAGTCGCTATCCGGTCCGGTTCTGAAAACATAGGATGTGGGAGGAGTTAATTTCTACTCTTTAGCTATTGAGCTAGCTAGGTAATGGATTCGAAATCCCTTGCCTGCATTTCTCATCCAGAATTTTTTGAAATTTTTTCGCAAGTAATTTTGTTCCCCTCAAGTTTTTAATAGATTAATCGCGTTGATCCCCACACTAGGCAAAACGTTAAGGTAGAGAAGTAAAAGAGCAGGGAAAACCGGTCTTCTCATTAAATTATTCTAGCAGAAATTTAAAGATTGAAGAATCCGAGGTCCGACGTGATTGAACTTTCCACTAAATGCCAAGACATTGTGGATGTTGCAAGTGTGCTAAGGAGGAGCAAAGTTTAGGTACTTCCGGAATGGATTATTATCACTTTACCTCCTTAAAACTATATCACTATTATTAATTTACCTCCTAACATTATCTTTTAATCACTTCACTTCTATAGGTAATTCAATTCAACATGTTAACAAATTCTGAACAAAAATACATTTTTATTTTATAGTATTATTGCATTATTATTATCACTTTATCTCTTGAAATTATATTGATACAGTCACTTTAATATTATATATTTTATCGAATTAAGATTTTTTTGGATTTGCAGAATTTTTGTGAAGAGTACACATGCTTTGGCATAATTAGCACATGCGTTTGGAAGTCGAACGGGTTGGATCAAGAATTGACACAAGTAATTTGTTTAATTAATTTTTTTTTTTTTTTTGTAAATAAGAGATATTGAATTCATGGCATTCTACTTATAATTTCTCCCATCTTATCATCCAACTCAATCTTTCCCTCAAATTAAACTTATTAGATAAATTGTTGATTAAACTTGCCATCAAGTTCGAGCAATAAAAGCGCAAAGCCACCCACATCCACTTATTTTTTTCATGAGATTTGGGTCGGACAATCAATTGGTTCTTCGTTCAATCAGTTGAACCGGTCCTTCCAGTCCAATTTTCAAAACACACCGCCTTCATTCATGTTCATGTCCTCTGGTTTCCCTCCATCAGGCAATGCAACATCATACGTGCCCAAACATGTTGCTCAAATGAAGTCATTAATGGCAATGCAAAAGGTCATTAACGGCCACTAACTACCAAATAGAATTGATCCAAAGCTGAACGTCGAAAATCAACATCAAATGTGGAGAACCTTGCCCTGGAATTCTTGCTGCTTTTCTCCTCAATAATGGATTTTGCCAACTGCCCAATAATTCACAAATATTAATTACATGGTACGGCTGCAACAGGTCATGGCCACAACGGATCTTCTATCCCACACTCTATGCCACTCTCTGTCCCACTTTTTATTATATTGCTATTTCTTCTACATAAAGATCATATTTTAGTTCTTTTTTGTTTCCTTAAAATTAATAACTATTAATTGAGTAATACACAAAATTTAACAAACTCAAAAAATTAAAATGCATAAAAAATGAGATTTTTTATGAATTTTTTGCTATATTTTTTAATTTTCTATTATATATTACTTTTTTTAAGCTGTTGTATTTATTTTTCACTCAATTAATAGTTATTAAATTTTAAGGAAGTAAAAGAACTAAAACATATGTTTATATA